GCTATAGGCGCCGAGCCGTGCCCGGCTATTTTTTGGTTGCAGCCCGCATTGTTGTTTGGCGGGCCGGGCTGGATTCAAACCCACCAGCTTAGGTGTATGTGGCTGGCACCTTAGCCACTTGAGCCATACGCGCAGAGCCTCAGTCATTTGTTCCAATGCTTACTAAGTGCTTTCCAAGGGACAGGCAGTTCCAGGAACTGGAGATATAGTGGCATGTTTATACTGTGCCTTTTAACCTTAAACAACCCACTAGAGTTTAGGGTGAATGGGAGGATGAGAAGGTGCTGGAGATTTTCAGAAATCCTCTCCCCGCACCAAGCTCCAGTTTTAGGAGCTTGCTTGTTTATTTATTTATTTATTTACTTGGAGACAGTGTCTCACTCTGTTGCCCTGGGTAGAGTGCCATGGTGTCACTGCTCAAAGCAACTTCAAACTCTTGGGCTCAAGTGATCATCTTTTCTCAGCCTCCCAGTAGCTAGGACTACAGGTACCCACCACAATGCCCGCCTAGTTTGGAGGGTTTTTTTCTATTTTTAATAGAGATGGGGTCTTACTCTTACTCAGGCAGGTCTCGAACTGCTAAGCTCAGACAACTCACCCAAATCAGCCTCCCAGAGTGCTAGGATTATAGGAGTGAGCCACTGCATCAGGCTTTCGGAGCTCGTTTCTTTTTGTTTTTGTTTTTTGAGACAGAGTCTCATTTGTCACTCTCTGCAGAGTGTAGTGGCATCATTGCTCACATAAACCTCAAATTCTTGGGCTCAAGTGATCCTCCTATATCAGCCTCCCCAGTAGCTGGGACTACAGGCCCCCACCACAACGCCCGGCTATTTTTTAGAGACAGGTCTAACTTTTGCTCAGGCAAGACTCCTGAACTCAAGAAATCCATACCCCTCAAACTCCCAGAGTGTGAGCCACAGGCCTGACTTTAGGAGCTCTTTTAAAACCTCGCCCCCAGGACATCTATAATCTGAGAGCCTGGTCCCTAACTTCTGGCCAGGGAAACTCCCTTCTAAGGGGATGGTTAAAAATGGCACTTCAGAACTGGAAGACAAGGGCAGGCTGAGGGTAGACTGGACCTAAAGGTGGAAAAGAGTTTTCAGTAATCCACTTCCTACCCACTCTGTATTTCTGAGACGACCTGTGGCCCCAGCTCAGCCTTGGAGGCTCACCTGGACGGGCACGTTGTACTTCTTGCGCTTCTGGAAAATGCCCACTGGGTAGACCTCGCGCACATAGAGGATTAGGTGCACAGCCACCTCCAGGAACTCGCAGAGCACGTCCGCCACCACTGCAGAGCCACAAGCAGGTATGCTCGGGGGAAGCCCACGGGCCCAAGCCACCCCACACCCCGGGCCCGAGGGTCTAGCTTCCCTACCTTGGCCAAAGTTGAGGTCCTGTCGTGTGAGTGTGGTCATCCTTCCGGCTACCTAGGAGACAGAGCAAGAGTAAGGGGTAGTTCCAAAGGCCCAGGAGCCGCAGGGCCCGCCCGCCTCCACCGCCCCGCCCCTCCCTTACGTCTAGGGGGAGATGGGGCAGGACCCCCAGGCTCGCGCGCGCGTACATATCAGGGCAGCTGGGAAGGACTTCTCCACGCTGGCGTCACACATTGGGGGCATCAGTGGCGCCCCAATCAGCCTCTGCCCATTGGCCTCCCCAGCACCCACCTCATCCCGCTGTCTCGTGGGGGGATTAGGAATGACCAATGTTTGCCCACAGAAAAAACAGGGCCCCTCACACAGTGGGAAAAAGCTGGATGCGCAGGGCCGGAACGTCAAGCGGGACAGGCGGAAAGCGAAGCTGGGTTGGGATAAGGCTCCACCCCCTACCAGGCCTGATTCCCCGCCCCGGGGCGGGAATCCCTGCCCCTCCTCCTCCTCCCGTACCTGCTCCAGTCTCGTTCCTATTCCGGCCCGGGCCCCGGCACCGGGAGACACCGATCGCACCGCTCGCGCCTCCCGCTCAACCCGCGGCGCCTCTCGGTGACGTCCGAGGCGCTCCGGCGGGTCCTAGCGCCCGCCTTCAACACTCCCACTTCCCTGCGTGGCCCTGCCCTGGTCTGGCACTAGGCTGCTTCGGTCCGCTGGGGCGTCAGGGGTGGGAAAAACGTCTGCCGAGGGCGTGGCTTGGAAGGGGGCGGGGCCTGGCCTTGCACCCCAGAACAGCCGGAGTAGGGAGTGGGCAGAAACTGCAGCGCTACCTCCCTCCCACTAAGCGCGAGCGCGATAAAACACAACTTCGAGCTCTGCTTCGGGTCGGATCGGTACGTATTTTCTCCTCCAGGGCATTTCTCTTCCTTTAGCTGGCGCCGGAAGGGGGCGGCCCGGAGTTGTTAGAAAGGGACAGGTGAAGGGCACAGCTGGGGACCAAGGGCAGCCCCATCTACTGCTAGCCCCGGAGTTGCCATCCCCGCAGCTGCCCAACCGCAAACGAATCCACTGTTTCCAGGGCGGGGCCATCCCCAGAAGCAAGAGGGCCGTCCCCACCCCATCCCCACCCAGAACCTAAATGTAGCCGGTCCGATAGGATAAAACCCCTTGCCCTTCACTTCGTAACAATAGCTGACCTTTACCGAGTTCCAGCCTGGGCTAAGTGCGTCCGTGGGTTCTCTCAGAATAACTCCATGCGGCGGTTGCTATGATTGTTCCCTTTTTGATAAATGAGGTATGTGAAGTTAGCCTGCCAAGTCCCATAGCTCCAGGAGAGGCGATGTGGAGGTGCCTTATTGCTCCCGAGGCCCCCAGAGGCATGGACTTAAGTCTCGAGGAGCTGCAATGGCCCTCAGAGATGATGATATTAATATTAAAATAACTACCAACCTGGATGAAGCACTTATGTGTCAAACACTGATTTCTTTGGTTCCCTTGTTAGCTCTAGGAGCTACGTATCCATTTTACAGCCCTACTTCATAGATGGTTAAGCAGGCCCAAAGATGTTCTCGAATCCACCGAAATCATGCACCCAGCTCTAACACCTATTCTAACACTAAGGCTTCAACTTATTTACAACTCCTTTATTTTACAGTGAGAAAACTAAGGTCAAAGAAGTGGCCACAGAGAATACATGACAAGTCAGACTTTGTCACTGACCTTCCAGGATGTAAGAATTTGTTAGGACTCCCATCCACCTGTCTGTACACAGATCCAGCCAGAATGTTCACCATCTCCATCTCACGAAATTGGAGATCTGCATTTCTCCCCATAGATGCCTTCAAACCTGCATTTACACACTTTCTGACAGGGAGAAAATAAATAACCTGGCTGATGAAGTCAGGAATGTCAGCAGAGCATTTCTCAAAATGCGGCCCTAGAAAATCCAAATCAGAATCCCTGGGGAGCCTATTAAACACACAGCTGCCTGGCCACCCTCTTCTACCAGATCACTCTGACCTGCCCTTTAACAAGCTCCCCGTGTCCCAGATGCCCAGGAAGGTATGGGAACCACCACAGTAGTTTAGGCTGTTTCCAGAGTATATCTGCATTTTGTAAAATTACAGTGTTTAACCCAAAAGGATGGATGAATTTATTTCAGGAACTGATGCACCTGGCAGCATTTTGCAGGGATCCTGCCCACATCATGCCATTCTACACACAGTCAGCCGAACAGTTCACTAACTCATAGACATTGTCCCCTGGCTCCTTGAGATTTAATCATTGCAGATGTTTGGTAACTTGGGAAAATTGAGAGTCCTACTTTCCCCTCTCTGGAGGCTGCTAGAGCAGCTTTTCCTTTGGTGGCAGGCAGTGGCAGTCTTCTATTTAAAGGGGCCTTTGGACTGGGGTCTGGGGTGAGGAGGCTCAGAGCCCAGCTACTCCTGTGGGGCATCCTCTAGGACACAGTGTGAGGCACATGGGCCTCTAACCCCAGTCCTCTGCCCTAGCAGACATAGTACAAGCCACCATAGGTCTCCTGACTCAAGGAGCTAAGAATCTCAGAGAACTCTGGGAGGAAATAAACTCAACCATCATTTTTCTTATGGGGAAGGACACTGGGGTTCCTTTGACACTGGGGTAGCCACCTTGTCAACTAGAAACCCATGGATAAGAATGTCTGGGTTTGGGATGTTGGATTCAGAGCCAGTCACAAACATGTTGGCTGGGAGGCAGATGACGAAGGATTCAAACTGATCTGACTTCTAACCCCAGAAAGGCTTCAGTCTCCTCATTTGTGAAATGAACAAGCTAGACAGGTCTCATGGGGGTGTCTTAAAGCTGGGGATGGAGGTGGGTCTGAGTCAGCATGGGGCCATCGGGAGAGTCCCATGAAGACATCTGTCCATGGGGCTCCACGGCATCTGGTTTTTCATATCTTAATCGCATCAGCATGATGGATGGTTGTGGGATCCAGATTATATTAGGGGGTTAATTTATTGCATTTTGAATACCCATTTGCTGGGAGACTGTTTTTCAAAGTTATCTGCATATTTTATACCATAATGACAATATGTAGGAAGAGAGCTGGGAGGGAAGGACCGGTGTTTGGGAGAAGAGAGAGCTTATTTGCCAACTGGAGCAGGTCCCTAAGGACCTGCAATGGGGATGGAGAGAAAATCACCCCCAAGAGACTGAAATGGAAACTGAGAAGGCAAGCTGCAAGACAGTGTGAGCACCAGCCCGGTGAAGACTGAGACCTGCACAGGCAAAGGAGACTGGGGTGTGCTGGACAAGCACACAAGAAACAAACTGAGGAAAATAGGCAATAAAGTGTCCAACCCCTAAGATGCTTCCAAAGCCCTCCCCTATCCACTGGGCTGATCACAGGACAAATCACCTGTTCCACCCTGCCTAAGGTTCCCAGGACCCCCAAAACATGGCAGGGGCAGGGGGCATATATAGTGATGGTGACAATCCCTCTGATGCCTTCATGTTCAGGGGCTCAACCAGTTGGAACACCCCTGAGCAAGGACCCAGCCTCATTGATTTTTTCGGTCAGCACCTCACCCAGTGCCTGGCAAAATTTGAGTTCTCAATGTGTCTGTTAAATGAGTGAATGAAAGAATGACAGAAGAATGAAATGATGGTGGACAGTGGCTCATTACCACTTGCCTGACCTGAATCCCAGATTAATCTGGATGAGGAGTAAAGACCTCCAATTTCAGTGCTTGGGCTTTAGGTGGTGGTGTGCAGAGAAGGTTTTAAAGACAAAGCAAGGTCTGTGGAATGTTCCCTATGGTATCTCCCTATTCACCAGGCCTGCTCATGTGTCCAGCCTTCCTCCTCTCTCCCTAGTACTGCTCCTCAACCAGCTTTGCAGCCCTTCCCTCCCTGAACCTCAGTTTGCCAATCTGTAAAATGGGATAATGATAGTTCCAATTCCATAGGATTGAGCAAGAAGTAAATTACATCATGTTTATAAAAATATAAAGTACACAATACCTGGAACATAAATGCTCAACTAATGGCATTGTGACAATGATATTAAAGATCTACACACATTGTTAAGCCCCCAGAGTGTACACTCTGGATAAGCCACCATGCTTTTCAAAACCCTATCCAAAGTATACTTAGCTGCCCCCATCTCTATTTCCATTTCCTAAGGCAGCTGGCAACTTCTAAGGCACCCTAGAGAGGACATGCATCCTCATGGCACAAGGCATCTGAAGATAAGGGGCTGTGGCCAAAGACAGTTCCTCTCCCCCCTCATCAGGCCTCCTGGAGTGAGGCCTGACCTGGATAGCTGCCCCAGATCCTTGGGTCCACTGCTGAACTGGGACCCAAGCCAGAGCCCTGACCATAGACCAGTAACACAGGTGGCTACCAACACTTCAGCCAGAACAATGCTCCGACATGCAATTCCCTCTGTGGGGTTCCACAGACTTCCCTGTGTTCCTCACCCCTCACTAGTTAGGAGGACCTTAATGATCATCTATTCTTTTTTCTTTTTTTCTTTTTGTGAGAAAGGGGGACCATGGCATCATCATAGCTCATTGAAATCTCAAACTCTTTAGCTCAAGCAATCCTCCTGCCTCGGCCTCCCTAGTAGCTGGGACTACAGGTGCCTGCTACAACATCAGCTAATTTTTTCTGTTTTTAGTAGAGACAGGATCTCCCTCTTGCTCAGGCTGATTTCAAACTCCTGACCTTAAGGGACCCTCCTGCCTTAGCCTCCCAGTGTGTCAGGATTACAGGCATGAGCCACCTCTCTCAGCCCTGATCGTTTATTCTTAAACATGGAGCTTCTACCTAGAGAAACGCACAGTGACACTAAATGTCTTATATGATCTCAGGAGTTTCCAGATCCTTTGATGCCATCATGGACCACCAGTTGATCCAGCTCAACCACCACTTTTAAAAAAGAAACAGCTTCTTTTTTTTTTTTAAGATTTTTTTTTCTTTTGAGACAGAGTTTCACTTATTAGCCCTCAGTAGAGTGCTGTGGCACCACAGCTCATAGCAACCTCCAACTCCTTGGGCTTAGGCAATTCTCCTACCTCAGCCTCCCAAAGTAGCTGGGACTACAGGTACCCGCAACAATGCTCGGCTATTTTTTGGTTGCAGTTAGGCTGGGGCGGGGTTTGAACCTGTCACCTTTGGTATATGGGGGCTGGTGCCCTACTCACTGAGCCACAGGCGCCACCCAAAAGAAACAGCTTCTTTATTGAGATATAATTCACAAACCATCATGTTTACCCTTTCACTATACACAACTCAGTGTTTTTTTTTTTTTAGAATAGTCACAAAGTTGTACATCAATCACCACCATCTAATTCTGGAACATTTTCATCACTCCAATAAATAAATAAATAAATAAATAAACCCATACCCATTAGCAGTTACTCCCCGCTCTCCCCTTCTGCCAGTCCCTGGCAATCACTAATCTACCTTTTGTTTCTATGGACTTGCCTACTCTGAACATTTCATATCAATGTAATCATACAGTCTATGGTCTTTTATTGTTCACTTGGCATAATGTTTGCAAAATTCATCCAGGTTGGATAATATATTTGTACTTCAATCCCTTTGATGGGCAAATAACATTTCCGTGTATGGACATACCACCTTTGTTTACCCACTCATCAGCTGATAGATATTGGGCCCACTGTGGCCCATCAAATACATTTTACAGATGGGGAAAGTGAGGCACAAAGTTACCATAACCTGGATGGGATAGGAGTCT